TTTTTTTTTTTTTTTGAGTTTTAATAAACTTAATCTCAGTTTTTGATGGCTGTCTTGGAGTTCAGTAGCACTTAGAACATTCCTCAAAACAGCTGTCTTTCTGTTTTAAGTTGGTATAAACACATCTGAGATTGAGTTACTTATATAAAATAAAAATTCATTATTTTACAGTTCTGGAAGCTGAGCAGTCTGATAATGTTGCCTACTGCTGTGGGTCTTTTCATTGTGTCTTCTGTGGTCAAAAACAGAAGAACAAAGAAGGACCACACCCCCATAAATTCATTCGTAACAGTAGAGTGTTTAGGACTTAAATACTTTCCAAAGGCTCCATTTCCCTTTGTTGGGGTTGAAGTTTTTAACATGATTACTGAAGAAATGGATTATAAAAATCGTATCAACAAAATTATGAAAAGAAACAATTAATAGATGAAAATTGAGGTACAGCTGAAGAGCTGAGCTACTTACTCAATTTAAATCATTTTGAGTTAAATGCTTTACATCACAGAACTCTAAACTATGGCACTTCTGGTTAAGCATTCCTAACCTGAAAAGCCTAAAACATAAATGAGCAGATTCAAACTATTTTATGCCATGTGTAGAAATGTCATACATAGAAAATCCCGTACCAAGTAAATGTTTCATGCACAAAATTATTAAAAATTGAGAAAAAATTATTTTCAATTTGAATAAATAAAAAATTTATTCCAAGGTTGTATAAAATGCATATGAATCTCAAATGAAATTGTAGGCTTATACTTGGGTCATATCCATAAGGTATTGCAGATGTATACGCAAATATTCCAAAATCTGAGAAAACGATATGGAACCTCAAGTCTCCACTGTTTAGAATACAGTGCTTTGGTGACATTACTTAGTTCCCTTTTGAAGTCTTGTTTATTCACTGAAAAATAACCCGAAGAGTCCATCATAGACATATGGTAGGCATTCATTAACTATTTGCAAAGTGAGTATTAAATGAGGCTCCATTTTTCAAGTGAATCTGGAGTTGTTAAGCCTCTTGTTCTAGGTCATCCAGAAAGTGATTAGCAGATTGATGCTCTTATCAAAGTGTCATGCTCTTCAGTGAACTGTAAAACTAACTCTGAAAGGGCAGTTTTTATGAGGTGGAATCTACAATCACTGCAATGTAGATTTATGTATGTAAATACATAAATGTTATCTCCCGAATGCTATCTCAATAATCACATATTTTGTTACTGTATGTCTAACTGATATTTAACTTCTGCTCATATCTTAAAATAAAGGTTACTGTAATCTTTAATTGTTAATAGTTGTAGTTCATGTTTGTATGCAAATCATGGTTTCACATATGAGGTCTTTGTATCATAATGAGAAACGAGCGTTAAATGCATAGTTGGTTGCCAAAGAGAGTTGTTAAATTTTTACAGAAATAAAATTACAAAGGGAAAGGCTAGCTAGACCTTCTGAGATAGCTACATATTGCAAATGATGTGGGGAAATAAAAGGACAGTATGTTAAAATAAAAGGCACTTTAGTATAAGTAACGAAATAAACTGTTAGGTTAAAACTGGGAAGATTCTCAGCCAATCAGTATTAATATGAGAGATGAATTCACTATATATTTGTCTTTCTTTTTTTTTTTTTTCTTTTTGACATAATATAATTAAAGCATTTCTCTTTCCCCTTTCTTCCCTCCAAACCTCATATAACCCTTTCCTCCTTTCACATTCATGGCCTCTTTAATTGTTACAACATGTGTATATGCATATACGTATATATTTCTAAATATAACCTACTTAGCCTGTATGTTACTTGTATGTATGTTTTCAGGGATTATCACATGGCATAACCACTTCACTAAGAAGGCTGAAGGAGGAAGTTTTTAGTAGTTCCTCAGGCTTGTAACTGGCAGGAGCTGATCAATCCTATTAGCACCAAACTTGGGACAGCAAAGAAGGTCTGATGCACTAGAGATCACATTACTAACTACGATTAAGAAAACAAAACCCAACAAATAAATAAACAAAGGTCAGTGATATGCTTCAGAAGGCAAAAGCATTCACCATTGATCGATGGTATCAGTATGATCCTTGGAATTCACATGGTAGAAAGAAGGAACTGACTCCCACAAGTTATCCTCTGACCTCCACACACTGCTGTGGCATACATGTACCAACTAACTGCCATACCCCAGCAAACAATAAAAAAAGATGTAATAAAAACAAAAATCTCAAACCATTAAACAATAACTTGAACTTAATCAAGTTCAAACTGAACTGATATAAGGTCGTTCTTAGCAAATCAAAACAATGCAAATGAGAATCCCCATAATGTTATTATAGAGAGAGACACCTAGGTTTTAGAAATAGATAATAAATTGATTACAAAAAAATCCCATGCTTAGTAGTATTCCATTGTGTAGATGTACCATACTTTCTGTATCCATTCCTCAGTTGAGGGGCATCTTAGTTGTTTCCAGCTTCTGGCTATTACAAATAAAGCTGCTCCAAACATGGTTGAGCAAATATCCTTATTGTACAGAAAGTATGGTACATCTACACAATGGAATATTACTCAGCAATAAAAAACAAGGAAATCATGAAATTTGCAGGTAAATGGCGGGAACTGGAAAAGATCATCCTCAGTGAGCTGTCCCAGAAGCAGAAAGACACACACTGTATATACTCACTCATATAGACATATAATATAAAATAACCTACTAAAATCTGTACATCTAAAGAAACCAATCAAGAGGGAGAACTCTGGCTAAAATGCTCAATCCCCATCCCAAAAGGCAAAGAGGATGGACATTATAAGAAGGAGAAAACAGGGAACAAGTTAGGAGCCTGCCACAGAGGGCCTCTGAAAGGCTCTGCCCTGCAGACTATCAAAGCAGATGCTGAGACTTATGGCCAACCTATGAGGAGATTGCTTATGAAAGAATTTATGAAAGAAGTGGGAGTTTGTAAGACCTGGAGAGGACAGGAATTCCACAAGGAGAGTAACAGATCCAAAAAATCTGGGCACATGGGTCTTCCCTGAGACTGATAGTCCAAACAAGTAGCATACATGGAGATAACCCAGAACCCCTGCACAGATGTAGCCCATGACAGTTCAGGCTCCTAGTGGGTTCCACAGTAATGGGAACAGGGACTGTCTCTGACTTGAACTGATTGGCCTGCTCTTTGATCACCTCCCCCTGAGGCGGGAACAGCCTTACCAGGCCACAGAGGAAAACAATGCAGCCACTCCTGATGAGACCTAACAGACTAGGATCAGAAGGAAGGAAAAGAAGACCTCCCCTACCAGTGGACCTGGGGAGGGGCATGCGTGGAGGAGAAAGGGAGAGATTGGGAGGGGAGGAGGGAGGAAACTACAGGGGGGATACAAAGAAAATAAAGTGTAATTAATAAAAAAAATTAAAAAAAAGAAAAGCACAAAAAAATAATCCCACGCCTTCTGGGATTTTCTTAACAATTCTTTAGCAGAGGAAGTTTTAGTGGAAGTGCATGTATATAAATATTCATAAAGTTGACATAAGACTGATAAAATATTGATAATCATTAAAATATGCGACTAGTACACAGGAACTCCTCAAAATTGAGCTGCCACCTCCAGACTCTTGAATGCCTATCAAATAAAAAGTAGTTTGAAGTAGCTCACCAGGAAAGTACTCCCTGGGAACAGTTCCTGATCATTTGTATACAGATCTGTTGCAAATTCCATGATGTAATCCCAAAGACAAAGTCCTTCTCATCCTGCTCATTACAAAAGTAGTTCCTTTTTCTTTTCTAGAGACTCTAGGAGAGTCCTGCAGCTAAGCATTGAGGAGACCTTATTCTAGCTGTTCAGCTCTTTAGTACACGGGAGAAATTTGTCTTTTGTTAAAGAAAGGGACTTGTTCTACACTGGGCAGGGAGAGGTCTCCCATTCAATCTGGCTTCACTCAGCTGTTATATCACAACTTAATTCCCCTCAGCATCTCCCCATCACTTCATTTTAGTAGGATAAATAGCCTCAAGAATGCTTAAAGTGAAGTCTTTCAGAGGCTGTCTGTGGTAGGCTCCTGTCCTGTTCCCTGTCTTCTCCTTCTGAATGAGGATTGTGCATCTTCTCTAGAGTCTTCCTTGTTGTTTAGCTTTTTTAGGAGTATAGATTTTAGTATGTTTATCCAATATTATGTGGCTAATATCCACTTATGAGTGAGTATACTCCATGTGTATTTTTCTGCTTCTGGGATACCTCACTCAAGATGATCTTTTCTAGATCTCGCCATTTGCCTGTAGATTTCATTATTTCCTTCTTTTTAATTACTGAGTAGTATTTCATTGTGTAAATGTACCACAATTTTTGTAACCATTCCTCCACTGAGGGACATCTAGGTTGTTTCTAACTTCTGGCTATTATGAATAGAGCTGCAACCAGTCCTGATGAGACCTGAAAGGCTAGTGTTAAATAGAAGGGGAGGAGGATCTTCCCTATCAGTAGATTGGGGAAAGGTGTTCTAGGGGAAAAGAGGGAGGAAGAGTGGGATTGGGAGGAAACGAGGAAGAGGGACACAGCTGGGATACAAAATTGAATAAATTGTAATAAATAATAATAATAATAAAATTAAAAAGTGCTTAAAGTGAATACTTACTCATAAAATGTACATTTCCTTAAAATAGCACATTACTCCATATACTTTATATTAAAACAGCATAAAATATGCCCTATATTAAGCACATTTTATAACTGACCTGTTCTTGAAACCTGATCATGAGTCTTTTTAAATATACATCTCCTTTTTATGGCAATGTGGAAAACTATTCCATAGTGTTGTGAAAAATGCATATAATACTCAGCATTTGACAACACCTACATTTGGGATTATCATTTTTTTAAATTAAATAATGAAAGCTTAAAATGTGACATGTGGGTCCCAAATATTGTACAGAAATTAAAACTGAATTTATTGATATACTCAAAAATGTTGGTCATATTTTCATAAATTCTTATTTTATTAATGTATGCTTTGCGAAGAAAAACTGAGGATGATTTTATGTTGTTAGCCATTATTTTATTGTTCAAAAATACAGAAATTTAAAAATGTTTACATGACAGGATATAAATGTGTAGAAAAGTAGTCTTTGAGGTAAGTCCCCAAACAGGCAGACTCACAATCTGCTTCAGCTGTGGTCACGTTGGTTCTTGAGAGCAATGATGGCGTAGCATCTGGGAGACTGCACAGGATCAAACAGCTTCACAATAGCAGACCATGCTATATCCTCCTGAAAATTGAAAAAGAATTTACATATACTATTTTTGAGTAAATAAAATAAGGATGAGTCAGACTACATAGATGGATTGAACTACACACTGTCATAGAAAATAGAAATAGAAACCAAAGGCTAATTTTTTTGATGAATGAAGATTAACATTTACAATTTCATTTTCAAGAAGTTATATTGAAAAAATATACACCTATAGAGACTGACTACTGTATTCTTTGTTTCAATATAGAAAAGCTGGACAAGGCTAATAACAAATACTGTACACTAAAGAAACAATTTTATGATGAAATATTATTCACCTTGTACAGATAGTAAGAAAATGCTAAATTAAAAAAAGTACACCAAACAATTACTATAGTTTTAAACTATAAAGAGTTAGCACACACATGTACAATCTTCATGTTCAACATCATTATAAAATGTATATAACATTTAATAATTAAGTCTGAAAGGCAGGAATATTACTCCTTTTACTTTTCTTTTATTATAGTACACAGCGTAATTTTTTAAATAAATATGAGTACTTTCATAAGACATTTAAATATTTGGACCTATTAATTTTGTTGCATGGTATTTTACTTAACTGTTTGCCTACGTCAATGAACTTTTTTTTGAGAATGGAAATGAGTACCTATTAAAATAGTTGCTGAATATCTTACCCCTCACTTTGAGGATCAAGGCTTTGTAGTTATTTGTAATTAAATGATGGCTAAGGAAGATATGTTATTTAAGTACTTTAAAAATTACCTTAATATGTAATAAAACTACCATATAAAATAAAGACATTCATTTAAATCTATTTGTTTCAAGAAGCCTTTTGAAAAGAAAAAGCACTGTATGACAAAATAAATTTCTTAAAGGATTTGTAGTGGAAAATAAATTGATTTCTTGAGGGGAATTAACAATTTAAAACAATTTACTGATCACAGCTCAGCAGACCACACAACACAGAAGAAATACTACTCTGGGGGAGAAATACTCTTCATTGATTAGAAAGACATTTGTACGTTATAGGACACATATGTCCAAAGCACATTAAAGATCAAGTCTTAAAAAGTGAAATGTATACACAGGATCTTTAATGTCTGGCTGTAATTAATTTTGGCTCTAAAATCATATATGGTTGCTTATATTCATTGCCTATGAATATTAACTATCACATAATTAAAAGAACATCAAGTTTATTACAGCAATTTTCCTGAGGACATCTGCTGTACATATGTGCATCTAGTAAGTAGGAAATAAGTGAATATTAAAGGTATTACAGCACGAGAGACATTACCTTACTCATTTCTATGAAATAACATTAACTCAGCTATATGAATTTACTTGTTTTATTCTACCTAATAAAGATATTTGCTACGTATTGAAAAGTAACACAATTGACCTGTTCCTTCAGGTAACAAAGTCGATCAAGAAGAATCAGGGTTTCTATACAAGGAGCCAGAACAACTTTCAACTGCAAGAAAACATGAAAGGGATTGGGGCTTTAAAAGTTTATTTGCTTAACATTTATGTTTGACAAAATATATCTACAAAACTGCACATATGTCAGGTACCCGATACCCACTGTACATCTTCAGAAATGAATACTACAGATCAAAAGCTTTTCTTTACCAATAATAGGAAAAGAATGCCTTCTAAGAGACATGAGGTGGAATCCAGGAAGCAATCATGTGATGGAAAGCTTTTAAAGCACTCTCAAGAATGCAATTCATTAAAAGGAAAGCTTGTGAAATAACTGCTCTGGAGATCAACATGTGTTCAAAGAACTCTGAAGCATCACTCTGTGCATTTATGATGCACTTTAAAGGAAATCTACCATGTGCTCATTTTATGACATTACTAACACCTAATATAGTTCCGAAATAGGAAATGATCCCAAATAGTTTTCCTACAGAGACAACACACACATGACACACCAACTCTCAAACACACAACAACAACACAGATTGGTTGGCCCATGATAAAATTTAATAGGATACTTTTCTAGTCTAGCAACATACCCAATATAATTCATATATATATATACATACATATATATATACACATACATAGATATGACTTACCATATTAAATGCCTCCAGCTCATTCATTCTAGGTTTATGTTTCTCATAGTAGTCCATTATAATTTCTTCAGAGACCTTGCAAATAAAAACAGTAAGAATAAATTTATCAATGCTTAAAGTTAAATTACTAAGAACTCCTATAATATAACCTAAAGTAAGTATAATACCGATTTAAGATAACTGTAATGTGTGAAGAGTTGAAGAGCAAGTACATATAAAATTCAAATTCAAATATTTTGAATTGATATTTTTACCATTTCATAAATAACCCTATCTTGTTTTTTTCCAAATTCAGTACATAGTGGTAAAATATTTCACTTTTAGCTAAATAAGCAAAACAAGCAATATATGAAGCTATAACTTATTTATAATGTATATAAATTTGCATATATCTGTAGTAATGCATAACCTTTAATATCTAGCCTTGGTTGAAATAAAGTACCAATCTAGGCATTGCTTTTTCATCTTCTATCTCCAGAATATTTCAAATAAGCAAATATAGGAAGAAACAGAAACAGTACTTTTTAAATTTATTTTAATTTTTATTAATTACACTTTATTCACTTTGTATTCCCCCATAAACCCCTCCCTCCTCCCTTTCTAATCCCACCTTCCTTCCCCCTTCTGCACACATGCCCCTCCCCAAGTCCGCTGATAGGGGAGGTCTTCCTCTCCTTCCTTCTGATCCTAGTCTATCAGATGTCATCAGAAGTGGCTACATTGTAATCAAGAGGGAGGACTCTGGCTAAAATGCTCAATCCCCATACCGAAAGGCAAAGAGGATGGACATCAGAAGAAGAAAAAAACAGGAAACAAGTTAGGAACCTGCCACAGAGGGCCTCTGAAAGGCTCTGCCCTGCAGACTATCAAAGCAGATGCTGAGACTTATGGCCAACCTTTGAGGGAATTGCAGGGAATCTTATGAAAGAAGTGGGAAATAGTAAGATCTGGAGAGGACAGGCGCTCCACAAGGAAAGCAACAGAACCAAAAAAATTTGAACACAGGGGTCTTCCCAGAGACTCATACACTAACCAAGTACCATGCATAGAGATAACCTAGAACCTCTGCACAGATGTAGCCCATGGCAGTTTAGTGTCCAAGTGGGTTCCATAGTAATGGGAACAGGGACATGTCTTTGACATGAACTGATTGGCCTGCTCTTTGACCACCTCCCCCTCAGGGGGGAGCAGCCTTACCAGGCCACAGGAACAGTACTTCTTTAACAGATCATTTTAAATCTTTTTTTAAAATTAAATTTTTATTTTTTTATTATAATTTTTATTTTTTATATTAATCACAGGTTATTTACTTTGTATCCCAGCCATAGCCCTCTCCCTCATTCCCTCCCAATCCTACCCTCCCTCCCTCATCTCCTTCCTGCCCCTTTCCAAGTCCACTGATAGGGGAGGTCCTCCTCCCCTTCCATCTGACCTAGCTCATCAGGTATCTTCAGGACTGACTGCAAAGTCCTCCTCTGTGGCCTAGCAGGGCTGCTCCTCCCTTGGGGAAGGGGGAGGTCAAAGAGCTAGCCATTGAGTTCATGTCAGAAATAGTCCCTGTTCTGCTTACTAGGGAAACCCACTTGGATACTGAGGTACCATGAGCTACATCCAAGCAGGGGTTCTAGGTTATATCCATACATGGTCTTTGCTTGGAGAAACAAGTCTCATAGAAGACCCCTGTGACCTGATAAATTTGGTCCTTGTGGAGCTCCTGTCCTCTCCAGGTCATACTAATTCCCTCTTCTTTCATAGGATTCCCTGCACTCTGCCCAAAGTTTGGTTATGAGTCTCAGCATCTGCTTTGATACACTGCTAGGTAGAGTCTTTCAGAGAAAAGATCATCCTGAGTGAGGTACCCCAGAAGCAGAAAGACACACACGGTATATACTCACTTATAAGTGTATACTAGACCCATAAGATAGGATAAACATACTAAAATCTCTACACCTAATGGGATAAGATGATCAATCCTCACTTAGAAAAACAAATGAGATGGACACTGGAAGTAGGAGAAAGCAAGTAACAGGATAGGAGCCTACCGCAGAGGGCCTTTGAAATTTTTATTTTTTATTATTTTTTTTGATATTTTTCTTTTTTATATTAACTAAAGTTTATTCACTTTGTATCCCAGCTGTAGCCCCTCCCTCCTCCCTTCCTCATCTCCTGCTATGTCCTTCTCCAAGTCCACAGATAGGGGAAGTCCTCCTCCCCATCCATCTGACCCTAGCTTGTCCGGTCTCATCAGAATTGGCTGCATTGTCCTCCTCTGTGGCCTGGCAAGGCTGCTCTGCCTTTCAAGGGAGGCGGTCAAAGAGCTAGCCACTGAGTTCAGGTCAGAGACAGTCCATGTTCCCCTTACTAGGGTACCCACTTGGATACTGAGCTGCCATGGACTACATCTGAGCAAGGGTTCTAGGTTATATCCATGAATGGTCCTTGGTTGGAGTATCAGTCTCAGAAAAGACTCCTGTGCCCAGATATTTTGGTTCTGTTGCTCTCATTGTGGAGCTCCTGTCCTCTCCAGGTCTGTACACCCAAAGGTGAGCTAGAAGGAGGACCTGGGTAAGATGATCAATCCTCTCTCTGAAAGGCAAATGGGATGGACATTGGAAGAAAGAGAAAACAGGGAACAGGATAGGATCCTACCACTGAGGGTCTCTGAAAGACTCTACCTAGCATTGTATAAAAGCAGATTATGAGCCTCATTTTAAATCTTAAATTAGGTGTCTCATAAAGTACAATAGCCATGATGAAGTGACACAGGAAGAGCCCAAAGACATATCTGGCATCACAGGTCCCGCAAACCCAACAGAAGATAGTTCTCTAACACTATGTCTCCTAAACAGCAAAGTCAATAAGTGCTAGCTAAAACAAAACAAAACAAAACAACAACAAAACCACAGCCACTGGTTCTTCTCAACTGGCACCAAGAGAAAATAACATGGAGAATTCAGAGCCACATAGAAAATCCATATTTGCAGAAATCAACATGATAGAGATTAAGAGTTCACACTGTCCTTCAACTGATAAACTTAGGACATTGGGAGAAATATGCTAAAGCTTTGATTTTGACCTTTGTGAGATCAGACATTCACTTGCCTCTGATTGCCACTATACACTTTTGTACTTTAAGATTTAGAATTTCAAAGCTATAGAAGAATTTGAAAAAGAAATACATATGAGAAAACTCTAACATATTTATCTTTTTAATTTTTTTTTCAGTCTTTGTCTTCTTTCACTTGCTTTGATGTGTTGTCTTAGTTACTTTTCTATTGCTGTAATGAGATACCATAACCAAGGCAACTTATAGAAGAAAAAATTTATTGAAAGTTTACAGTTTCAGGGGGTGAGTCCATGGCTATCACAATAGGGAACAAAGCAACAGACAAGCAGGCATGTAGGCATTGCACTGGAACAGTAGCTGAGAATTACACTGTAAAACAACCAAAACAAAGAGCCAGAGAGCTAGCTGGGAATGGCATGGGTTTTTGATACCTCAAACTCCAGTTCCATTCACACACCTCCTTTAACAGGGCCACACCTCCTAATCCTTCCCAAACAGTTTCACCACCTGGAGACTAAGCATCCATGGCCTGATTGCTGTTCTCGTTGAAACTATCACACATGTATTTTACTTATTTGGTTGACATTTTTGTTTCAAGAGATTAGGTCTTGATGTGTAGCCCAGTCTGGTCTTAGATTTGCACTCCTCTTGCCTGGGGCCCCCAAGTGCTGGGATTCCAGGGTACACCACCATGTTTGTTTTTGACATGTACTTTGGGAGCAGTTTCATCAGATTACTCCTGTTTGGTCAGTACTCCACAAAGACATTCATTTTATAAAAACAATTTTGTTTGCATTCAGTTTATTGAATATGCAACTTCATCAATTACATATGATTTATATTATTATTCTAGTAATAAAACTGACATTAAAAGTTTAGAAATGAAAATAATTGACTCACTAACCACTAAGTTCAACTGCTGAATGAAGACTTGTACATGTCCTACAAAGTAGCTCCAAGCGTGATAATTGAGTATAGTAGGAGTGTACTATCCAGAGAAAATATGGGAAATAATGGTTGCTGATAGATTACTTTAAATGTGAACTGTGCTGTTCTTGTATCCCTGTTACCTTTGAACACTGAATGTACACTGATGGCTGATGGAAGCACTGAATATAATTCTATTTCCTGTTGTCCAAACTCCAACTGTAGAAAAAGCCCTTAGTATGAATTGAGCTGTCTGTAAGGAGTATGGTTGTGGTCAAACAAATGGTCAGTTTGAAAGAGAATTGGAGTGGAAATAGTAAACAAACAATCCTCTTAGGCCCTTTCTTCTCTCTCCAACCCTCCCTGTAATTTGTTCAATTATTCTGGCTAAATCTGACCTTACATATTAGTAAGGTAATGTATATGGAGTATATGTGTTACTGCCCAGTAGATTTTGTACACCTGACCATATTCATGCTGCCTGGAAGAATTTCAAGAGTTAAGATTCAGATGGAAACATTTTTCTGTTAACTGCTCAGGAACTCACAATTTCTTCTGTCTTTATTACAAACCTTAATATTTAATCTGCTTAGAAATAAATTTATTGCTCTTCTAAGCCAGCACTCCATAAGGAAGAAGCCATGTATAGCTCGAGTGCCAAGACTGTGAAGCTCAATGGTGAGAGGCTGGAGGAGTTGAGTTTGGCATCTCTCAGGCACTGCTCCATCTGGAGATGAACTCAGATCTCAAGGAGCAAGGGCAGGAACTCAACATCATCATGGCCAAGGAAATTGAAGTTGGTGGTGAAGTTGGCATAATTTTTGTGGCAGTTTCTCAGCTGAAATCTTTCCAGAAAGTCCAAGTCTGGCTAGTTCGTGAATTAGAGAAAAAGTTCAGTAGAAAGCACATAGTCTTCAATATTCACAGAAGGATTCTGCCAAAGCCAACGAAAAACAAGCAGAAGCGCCCCAGAAGCTGCACCTTGACAGCAGTGCATGGCACCTTCCTTGAGGACTTGGTTTTCCCAAGTGAAATTGTGGGTAAGAACTCTGTGTGAAACTGGATGGTAGCAGCTCATAAA